TATATATATATGTATATATATATAATATAATTATTTACTTTGGATTCGATCGAGGCAACTATATACGACGTTCGAACAAACACTGTTGGATACCGCAACATTTATATAAAATTTAACAATAATGAATTAATGAATAACGTAATTAAATGTTAATAACAGCATTAGGTTTTACAAAAAACGTATATATTTCATAGAATATATATATATATATAAATATATATATATATATGGCAGTTCGTACTGCTAAACTGCGAATGTTTTCAGTGATGCATATTGTGTGGTTGATTTCGGTTTCTCTTTAGTCCATCGGTATTGAGTATTCATTCATCTCAAGATCGCCGCACTATCCGTGATCTCGCTAATGTTACATAGTTTTTTGGTATATTGGTATATATACATATACTTATATATATTTATATATATACATATACATCTATATCTACGTCTATGTACATATAGGTATATATATATAGACATATATATATTTCAGATTTATAATTTTTTTTTCGACAGGTATGAGTGACATTTTTGGTTATGCCATTTGATGATCAAAATCGAATATGAAATAAATGCGAATTTTTTTCCTTGAATGGTCCAGCCATGGTAAACAACAATTTCATATTATCTTTTGTTTCTTTTCACATCTCATCGCCGCCATCTATCTTTTCCGTTCCGTGAGAACAAATTAATAACAAAGTATATATATATGTATATATATATATATATTTATATAAATATTTGTATATAAAATAGGCATTCATTTTCTTGTTCATCAAATGTTTTCATTTTCTCTTCATTATTAGTATCAACTTCTTCTCTTTTGTTCTCTTTTTTTTCTGCATTGGACGAAATGAAATCGAAAGCTTTTCTCTTATAAATCTCAATGTTACTTCTTTATTATTATTATTAATTTTTTTTTTCACATATTTATTTTTCTCTCTTTCGCTTCAGTTAATTAAATGGATGGGTGCTCGAGATCACGTGCCAATGAAAAAATGTCACACATACTAAAAAACTTACGATAGATAATATTGTACGAGGCATACAAAAAATTGTGTACAATTTTGCAAATTTACCCTTTCGCCCCTCCCCTAAATGCAGTCCATACAGCATGTGAAGATAGCTTGAATATAGCAATTGAAGAAAGCACCATTAAGTTAATAACGTTAGTTAGTCGACGTGATGTGATTTAAAATAGTCCATTTTTTTTTTGGATTAAGTGATTGTTCATTGACTTTGGGGCCCATTTAGAACATAATTAGATAATAAATTTAAAATTTAAAAAAAAATAACAAGAAAACAGTTATGTCAATGAGTCGGGTGCACGAGCGCCAAACCCCTGTCACAAATTTGCATACAGGTATGGAAGAATAATTCAGAATCGTAATTTGTATCTGGATGCGATTGGCTTCGTGGTGGTGTATGTAGCACTTGGGAACTGTGCTCAATGTGCTTTATGGATCTTACGCATCTTGTCACACACGTCGAGCCAAACGCATCCTGGGCAATCTAGCTAACCAGAACAACGCAAACAGTCCGGAAAATTCATACAGAAATTGGTATAAAATGATAGAAATATACGGAAATGAACTGTTCTAGTGACATCAACCAGCTTATAGTAATGTTCCTAGATATAATTGAAGTTCCACCGAATGGCAGGCGTGCTTTGCTTCGAATTTTGTAGAAACGAATTCATCGATATCAAAATAATTGGACGCGTCAATTGGTCGGATGAATGGTACGCTCAAGCTGGGACTTGAGCGTCCCCTTCAACCGAAATGGAAATCATCAATCGCAACGAAAATTTGGTACCGTTCCTCTACTCTTACATAGTATATCAGACTTTAGTCTTACGATGTTGCTGCTGTTATTTTGTTGTAGTTGTTGTTGTTGTTTATAGTGAGCACGCTCTAGTGGAATTTCACCTAGATCACACAATACACACTGTTCATAAAACTATTATTATATAATTTGATATATTACAGGTCTCTATACACGTGTGCGATATTAATAGCAATATGAGCAGCAAAGCAGTTGACATTAGGATACCTTCTCCATCAAACTACTCAGCACAGACTTTGCATTCCATGTCGATGATCGACTTATCTCAGTTGTATTCGCGGATTCAACGATTTACATCTCTATTTATATATAAGTATATATATATATAATCAATAATCGATAAACGATAAACGAATCTTTTCTCCTTTTTTTTTTTGTTTTTTTCTTCGGGGGTAGAATTGTTAAAGTCCTAGTTTTTCGATGTATATGCATAAAGGGAGCACAAATAACAAGTTACAAAAAGTTGCGAATCGAATAGAGCTGAGATAAGGAGTCGCCACAGGCATGTGGCCCGGCTAGCGATCGACTTGATCGTCCCGACCGATCCAATGGATGGACGATGGATCCAATCGACCTGACGGGTCAATCGGTCGTGCAGATCAGTCGATCAAATCGAGATGAATCGATGCTAGTCCGCGGCCGGGGAGGGGCGGGGCCGTTCTCAGACATCTGCGGAGCGCGAACTAAGGCTGGGCGTGCGGCTGTGTAAGACCACTTTGTGCCCGTTTTTTGTGACAAAGCCGTCGCTTTCGACGAGCACGGCTGTCTGTCGAGCCCCTAGATCACCCAGATCACTCGAGTCACCGACCCCATCCCCGTCTCCGCCGGGTCCACTGACTCCACCGCTTCCACCGTCTCCACCGTTGTCTCCACCGTCACCACCAGCACCAACTCGGTCACCACCACCGTCACCACCATCACCCTCACCTTCGTCGTCTTCGCACTCGCCGTCGTCCCCGTCGTCGGACTGGTCGGTGAGGCCGCATCGTTGTCGCTTGTGTTTCCGCCAAGCGTTCTGGATCAGTCGGGCGCAGTACTCTTCGCGTTGCCTCCAGAGGGTAGAACTGACTGGTTCATACCCGACCTCGTTAGGTCTGGCCTGCACCTCGGTCAGCTCTGCCGTCTCCTCGATAGCGTTGCCCTTGCGGGCGAAGAAGTCCTTCGTCAGCGCATCAAGAATGTCCACACAGAACATGAGGTCGCCCTTGCAGATCGGTATATCCATCGAAACGATCTTGTACTTGTTCGGCTTGTGTATTTGTAGCGGCGGCTCCAGCACGTCCAGGAAGTCTGACAACTGGTCGTACCGGATGTACTGCGTCCCATCCGGATCGAACTGCTGCCATATTTCGTAATACATGTCGTAGTCGTCGTCCGTAAGGCCTTCCTGCACGTCTTCGGTTGCTTGCGAGTAGTTCTCCAAGATCACGGCGATGTACATGTTGATGACGATCAGAAACGATATCACTAAGTAGCTAAGAATAAATGCGATGCCTATGGTGGAGTTGCCGCAGTTTCCTGTCTCGCCGATCTCGTTATTCGGCTGCTTGCAATCCTCCTCGTTTATAATACCGTCGAGTACTCCGTCCCAACCGGCCGAAGTAGACATCTGCAACAAACAAACCACAGTTATTCATAGTCACCACCTTTACAACCTTGCTAAAAACTCACTTGGAAAAGTAAAATCATGGACTGTCCAAACGTCTTGAAATTGTAAACGTCGTCTAGGCCGCTCTTATCTTTAACGTGCATGAAAAACGACATGCCGAATATAGCAAAGATAAACATGACCAAAAACAACAACAGACAAATATTGAACAGGGCAGGCAGTGACATGGCGAGCGCAAACAGTAACGTACGAATTCCTTTTGCGCCTTTGACGAGTCGAAGTACTCGACCTACTTTAGCCACCCTCACCACTCTCAATAGTGTGGGTGAAACGAAATACTTTTCGATGATGTCACTCAGCACCAGACCTATAAAACGGAAGGGCAACAGTAAACATCAAATAATAGCAAACATATTATATATTGATCGCTTACCGAGGATAGACAGAATGACCACCACCGAATCGAAAAGATTCCAAGGTTCGGTAAAATAATGGTAACGTAAAGCGAAAATTTTCATCAGGCACTCGCTGCTGAATATTACTATGAAGATCATATTGAGGTAGTCTAATACCATAGTGAATGTTGCTTTCTGTTGGTAATGGTCCATAGTCATTGTCAACATATTCAGACCGATAAACAACATAATGAACATGTCGAACTTTTTGTTTGTCACTATTTCGAATACGATTGCTTGAGGTTTCCACTGTAATGCAAGATAACAAAATTCAATAAATATTTACTTTGTATCTTTAAGATAAGTTTACCTTTGGTCTAGGTATGGCTTTCATTGGTTTCTTCGATCCCATCTTTTTCATGGCGTTGTAGTACTTCTTTTGATCCTCAGTCATGAACATCTCCAGAGAACCGCCCGCGTGCAAATCAAAACAGAAACACAATCAAAACATCCTATTCGAATACAAATATAATAATTATAGCTATGAAACTTATCTTCTTCTTTTGTTCATTAAAATTATCAATGATTACTCCTATAAACAAGTTAAGCGTGAAGAACGAGCCAAAGATAATGAAGAATACGAAGTAGAGATACATGTAGATGTTTGTTTCTCTTATTGGTTGTTTCAGTGCCTGTAATTAAATGGAATCATATTAATGTAAGGATAGTGATAATCGAGGATTATTTTTAACTTACTTCTCTTGAATCAATGGCATCGTTCATAATTTGGATCCAACCCTTGAATGTTGCAACTTGGAATAGACACAAGTACGCTTTCCCTACGTGATCGAAATTCATGGGAGAGTTCTCCCACGTGTAATTCTCAGCAATACAAGCGTTATAATCTGGTATAATCTCGTAGCTAACAGTAGTCTTGTTACCGTCTACGCACTTGAAATACTTTCCAGCAAAAAGTTGCACTCCCATAATGGCAAATATAAGCCAAAATATCAAGCACACTAACAATACGTTAAAGATAGACGGTATAGCTTGCACCAACGCGTTCACCACCACCTGCAAACAGAGAAAGAGTTATTTTGTGTTGCTAATAATTGATTTGCACACTTACCCTCATGCCCTGCATTCGAGACATGGCACGAAGCGGTCTTAAAGCTCGAAGTGTTCTCATCGTTTTGAAGGCTTGAATTCCTCCAGCGCCGCATAACGAGGCGATGAAGTTGATTAAGGACACCATAACAATTATAAAATCTAACCAGCACCATGCATTTGTGAAATACTTCTGGAATCCCAGAGCTAACCACTTGATTAACATTTCGAAGAAAAATATAACCGTAAATATCCTATCCATGTAGTATAAAATATCTTGTAATATCGGCCGATGCTGAAGATGTACGTCTTCGAGTGCTAACGCTAAACTACTTAATAGAATCATCGTAATAACAGCCGTTTCGAAATATTTGTTCTCGATAAGTTGGAACGTTTTGAAGCGTAGATTGGACCAGCCCTGCCAGAAGGGCGAATCTTCGTCGCCGGCCAAGAATGGGAATTTCTTGTAGCACGTTTCTGGGAAACAGTCGGCGGAGTACTCTTGCACGATCATATCGTCTGTAGCGGCGTCGATGATGATCAAGTCCTCGTCGAGCGGACCTTGGCAGTCGCATTCGTCCTCCGCGTCTTCGTCGATTCCCAGTTCCTCCTTGCTGGCATCCCTCTTCTCCTCGTGATCTTCCTGGTCCAAAGTATCCGCGCTACCCTTGTGACTCTCGTCCTTAAATCGGTGTTTGTGGCTTCCGTAGGATTTATTGCTAATTTGATCGTCTTCTAAGTGGCCTATGTAGTTGCCGTGTTCCAAAAGGGAGTTGCCTATGAGTTTCGGTTTATTAATGTTATTTTTACCACGCTTCAGGTTCGTATTGGAGTCACCGTGGATGGTGAACTCCATGCCGTCGCCGATCGTCACTTCCAGTCGATCCTTCGGACTCTTCTTATCCCTGAATATTATACCATCCGCAAGGATCTCGTCACCGGATATTTCTAAACCACCATCGCGTGCATCTAAAACGTGCATTTTTTAAGTTCATACGATATACAAGTTACGCGAAGACAACACTAATATAAAGTATATAAAGTAAAACGTAACAGTTGGAATCTAGCCTGATAGTAAACCAGTTTTACATGAGCTCAATATTCAATGCTCCACAAGCAAGTAACTAAGAAATAGTATTTTTTTAGTCTACTAATTAAGAAAAGAATAATAGAATGAATCATTAATATGTTCAAGTCAAATTAATCCAATATATAAGAAATAACATATACACCAACAAATTCGTTTTCATTAATCACTGTCATTACTAGAGAAACAAAAAGAAATATAATATATAATATAATATATATATATAAGGAATATACAATCTAGAGAGTTACATAAAAAAGGATCATGCTATACATTACAACACTGTTATATATATATAGTAAATGTATACATATATATGTATAAAAGTTATATAAACCAGCATTTCCATTAATAAATGTGCGCTAAATGCAAACTGTGTTTTCGTATCTTACGACAGAAGATGGAAGCGTTGGTTTATCGGGTAATTTGTTGAAAATGATTTTCTGTTTTTTCTTTATAAGTGTGTATGAGTGTTTTGTTTACTTTTTTGTTCTTCTCTTTATAATTTAAAGATAGTCAGCAAATACCATGGAGCTTATGTACAGTGAAACGAAAGTATTTTGCACGAGCCATCTATAAAGTTAATTAAGTACATGTATATACGTATTTAGATATAAATAAATACATATATAAATAGTAAAAAAAAAACGAAAAGAGTATTAATAATAATAATAAAAAACAGAAGCATCTTCACACAGTTACAGATGACACTTACAATTTGAATCACTTCGTCAGTTTTTTTTTTTGAAATCCGCGCAGAAGTAACAACTAAAGTGGAAACTAAACAAATACATGATAAGGAAATGTTAAAGTGAAATAATGTAAAGAATGTTATAGACAGAGACAGAGAAATGTGGTGTGTAAGAGACAGATAGAAGAAATAGAAAGATAGATATAAAGAGAGAGAGAGAGAGAGAGAGAGTAAGAGAGGTTGGTGGGATTAATAGTAGATAAATTGATAGACAGACAGATAGACTAAAATAAAATAATAATATATAGACTAATAGTAGTAGTAATCATTTGTAAAGACTATCAAACAGTTGGTATTGCAAGTGGCATCTTTTGCAACTCATATGAAGATTAGTTACATCTGAGCAGCAAGCAAAACCAGCAAGCTATCAGATTTGATAAAAACCTTTGTTCCAACTGTTGGACGGTCCCTCACCTGACGGCTGGTCGGATATTTGATTTGTAAGCTTGAATCGAACCATCTTCAATATACTCCGCATACTAGCTTTTATCCAATTTATAAACCGACCTATTCTATCAAACGCTTCAGCTATTTTGTTGGTATCGTTATCGGCAGTTGGAGCGGATAGGTTTGATGATCCAAAATTACTCAAAAGCAAGGCCAAGAAAAGGTTAAGAACCTACAATATATATTCACAAACTAGCATCCTAATAATCTTCTATGTATTATTTTGTTATTATTATCATATTTTTTTTTTATAGGTTCGTTCACTTCGGAGATACATACCACAAGATTGCCAATAACAACAGTCGCTAGAAAGAAAGGAATGCAGGATACATCTCCGACCAGCATACAATCCCACATGGATTCAATCCACTCTCCGCATAGTACTCGAAAAACTATCATGAAAGAGTGCATGAAATCCGTAAAGTTCCATCGGGGCAGTTTTTCATCCGGAAATCTGTCTACGTTATCTAAAACAGAAGATGAACAAAAATGCTACAGTTTTGCATATTATTACTGAAACTAATCATACCTAAATAATTCTTTCCAAAAAGCTGCATGCCCATCACGGCAAATATAAATATAATAATGCACAGGACGAAGGTCAGGTTACCCAGCGCACCCATCGTCCTGCCCATAATAGATATGAGCAAATTCAGAGTGGGCCAGGACTTCGCAAGTTTAAACACTCTCAACTGAAAGATTTAAAAGATTTAGTATTACTTACTTATAAGAATCTGGATCGACCGCTTACCAATCGGAATGATCGCAGAACGGATAAACCTTGAACTCCTTCCAATCCCAGTTCGAGCAACGACAGCGCAACAATAATAAAATCGAAGATGTTCCAGCCTTCCTGAAAATAATACTTGGGACTCATCGCAATGAGCTTCATCGTCGCTTCAATCATAAACGTTGCAGTGAAGAACTGAAAACCGTACCCGTTATCTACTGACTAGTGCATTTTACTTACGCGACGTTGCGAATGAGACCCTTACATAATTACCGCTCTTCAGCGCTTTCTCTAAATCTTTATCCATATCGTGGTGATCTAAGGCCATAAATAACGTATTGACGACAATACAGAGCGTGATGAATAGCTCAACGAAGGGATCGAACACTACAAGTGATACGTATTTCTGTAGCTGCAGCCAAAGCCAGCAGCAATCCCATACGCACAATATATCTATCATCTTAATGAGCCACTCTAATATTTTCTCTTTCATAGTTGGTTCATCCTCTTCGTCGTCGTCGTTCGCTGAGAAATAATAAGAAACAGAAACTGTACGAATAATTAGTAAAAGTGAAGTTGACACACTCTTTTTTGGGGAAAGAGGTTTCAGTGAGGAATGCGCGGTGCGACAAATGGTGAGAACCTGAACCAGCTTCGGGTTAGGTTGGCTTTGCCAAAATTGTGAACTGATCACATGGTAGGCAGCCTAAACCTAAACGACTATGCTGAAAAAAGCAAATTCAATTGATCGCTCGTTTCGCCCTGCACTCATTTATATGTGAACTTAACGAAACAGAAAAGGTCACATAAAAATCAATAGCACGAAACGGAAAGCTTTAGAAGTTCAGTAGTGTTATATAATGCATATATACACCATAGGAATTTACTTTCTTTTCTTCCATTGTACTATTCTATAATTTTCTTTTCTTTTTTTTTATTCGCTTCTTACTTCCTTTGATTCGCGACTTTAAATTAATTCTGCAAGCTTCTTACTTTCTACAGGCACATAACATTCTTGTTGCATTGTGAAATTCTTTTGTGTCGGGATTGTTTCGTGTGTCAAATATTTTTCATTTTAAATATATATGATAGAGAGAGTCAGAGCGAGGGGTTGTTTGTAGTGCTTCTATTGTGTTTCAATCTCATTGTGTTTTTCTTTAAAATTATTTTCATAAAATATGATTACTCTATTTTGGTGCGAGATACTTAAAGTTTTAGTTGTTGTAAATATAGCAAGTTGCGATGGTGTGGTGACTGGGATGGCCTCTTGAGGTTAGGCAGGGTGGGATGGTTGGAATATTACACTTACCTCCGTGCTCTTGTTCTCCCATCTGTCTGCCGGCAGCCTGTTCTATAATGTCATTGAGAACCATCACGTCTGTAACAGAAACATGGAACGTCGTGCAAATCGCTATGCATTCGAGTCGATTGTATGTTGTTCCGTTTTACCTTTCATATCAACTACAGTTCGTCTTTGACAATTGTCTATAAATGGATTGTCTAAATGTTTCAGTTTGTCTTCGCACATCGTACCCGTTGGTCCGTCCTGAAGAGAAGGAAGTGAAACTCTCGAACGTATTGTTTTCAATACTCACGTATTCGCCCCGATGTGATTTGTGGTTGTACTCCATGATGTTGTTTGCGGTCGCCGGTCCGTTCCTTCTACCTCGGAGTTGGCTCTCCTTGGTCATGATCTTTCCGTTGTTTGCGAATCCGCCCAGCAAATCACCGTGGGAGGTGTACGACATCCTCGAGGCGTGCGATGTGTACGACGAGTGTCGAGAACCTGCAGGAAAGCAGCTAAACGTGATGGGGAAAACTGGTAGAGCGTTGCTGATCATACCTAGATTTGTATAATACATCGGAACTACCATAGCACCATTTTCTTCACTCATCGGAGTCACTGCGTTCGAGTCGTCAGCGTAAGGCAAGTGTTCCTGGGCATCGAGATACGTAGAAAGAACCAGGGGTTTGCGGTCACCAGGCCTATTGTACGGCCTATTATTCCGAAGCGTAAGCTGGTGGCTACCCCGCGAACCGCGCCGTATGTTGTATGGGGACCCGGGCAAACTGAGGCTCGTCTGAACACGGGACATGGTCTATTTATGTTTGGCGTACCGACAATCTATTCATGCAAGCTGGTATGTATGTATGTGTGATGTATATTATATGCACAATGTACGAATAAACGATATATACTCTACTGACACTATTATATGCTTAAATATGATAGAGCCCTGGCCATGTCGCGTGTTTCATAATCAATCAAAACAAAATGTAAATAATGTAATAGTAACAAAGGTGCTCAGCTCAGGACGATATGGGAGCAAAAACATTTCATAATATCGGATAGATAAAATTGATGATTTCCAACTACTAGCCAACCAAATTGATTAATGGAACAAAAGAAAATGAACGCATTTGAAAAGAAACTAATTTAAGGGTTGGCAAGGGTGGAGGTGTATGCGTTTGCAGAAATTATCAGAATAATGTAAACTAAAATAAAAACAAAGATAACTTTGCTGTCTGGACACTATAAGTGTCATGATCTGAACAGTTGTCTTTCTCTGGAATTTGCTGGGTACTCGAGACGCCGGCAAATCCAGTAGTATCAATGAAGTAGTAAGAATAATAATAATAAGAGAAAATTTAGAAAGGGTTGAACAAACGTCAGGACACTTACAGTGCTGACTTTCCGCGTGGTGTGATTTGTAGGAACTCCTCTTTGCTCACTCACGGAATCTAATCCTTCCGATCGGATGCTCATTTTTTCCTTGTTGTTATCCACGTGACCCTTTTCTTGACCTACAAATAGTTCGTAGCTATGACAGGAGAATTCCGAAGGAGACTTTACGATATCAGGCCCACCTCCGTCTGGCGGTGGATGTGGAGAACCTGATGCACGGGCGGCGTGAGCTTCGGCACGACTCGCTTTCGCTAAGGCAGCTTCTTCGGCTTCCTGTTACAAACAAAAGTGCAAGAAAAATTGAATGCATGGTCCAGATTAGAATACTAGATCTACTGCGTTCTGTGTCGTACCCTGATGGCTTCTTCCTCGGCCGCCTCTTCCTCTTCGGCCTTCTTTTGCAGCTCGTCGTAAGACATAGCTACAATGGCCAAAATCAAATTCACTAGATAAAACGAGCCTAGAAAAATGATGACGATAAAAAATAACATGTGCCAGGGACCGGCCGATCTAAGGACAAGTTGGTATAAGTTCTCCCAGTAGTCCTGGGTCATCAGGCGGAAGGCAGAGAGGAAGGCCCAACCGAATGTGTCGAAACTGGTGTAACCGTAGTTAGGATTATCCCCGTAACCTTGCAAGCAAGTGTAACCAGGCAAGCATTGTCTGACGATATATGAAAATAGAGAGAGAGAGTTATATCAGCACCATTCTGCACCGGTACCATATATATTTTATATATTTACCCGGCGCCAGAAGAATTCCCGCATAACGGTATCCCAGTATGGTCGCTATACCAGTTCGTCTCGTTACTCATAAATCGGTCCCAGTTCTCGTGTGTCAGATTACCCCAACTACCGTCGTTCGGGAAATTCTTTATACATTTCTGCGTAAGCACGCCCATATAAATTTGTAAACCCATGAGAGCAAAAACGGATAGGGAAAACATAGTTAAAATTATCACATCTCGAAGATTTTTTACAGACTCAATTACAGCTCCCACGATAGTTTTCAAACCTTGAAAGAAATTAAAATCAATCAATAGACTGAATGTATTATAAGTATGTGCGGCGGAATTTCTGAAAGTTTCCGTCCGCAAACTGCTCAATTAAGTAACTGGTTTTAATTTGATTTTTAGTTGAATACAGTACCTGGCACAATGGCAACGGTTTTCAGTGCACGAAGTACCCTAAAGGTTCTCAAGGCAGCGAGGTTTCCGAGGTCTATTCCCATAGTAACATAACTGAAACACAAGCACTGGTGAGCGTCGGCGGACGCGGGGGGCGGCTGCCTTTAAATTTCTACAGCTAGGTACAACTAAAAGCTCTCTTTTTAAGTAAAAAAAAAACTTTTTATCAATTAAGATATTTCTTCCAATTAAGTTTACACCAAATACATTTCACATAACAATATGCATCTCACCCTACCATTTAATGATATTTTTAGAAAATAAAAAAATCAATAGAAAATCATAGAGATTTATGTATGTCTAACAAGATTCTACTAGAAAAATAATTCAAAGAATATATATATATATAGTATGACAATCTATGGAAATATATGTAATTTTCAAAATAAACAAAAATAATAACAATCTCGTAATGAAAATCTAATTAAGTAAGTCAATGTCTAAGTCTGGTTGTTGTTTTTAGGACTATGTATATACTATGTTTTATATATATATTTATATGTATAGTAAGTAATTAAGTAATGTTTCAAATTGCTAAAATTAAAAACGGTCAATTTAACCAACGACTGCTTACTAAACAATTATTGCTACTTTATACTTCTCGTTCTACTTATAATAAAATCAATAAGCACTCACAGAAAACTCACTTGATAATTTATTTATTTAGTTTTTTTTTTTTCGATTATTAGTTAAAAATATATTTATATACTCTTAAAACTAATATTATAGAAATAGCTGTGAAACAAGAGGATCGGTTGTTAGTTTTACTTCTGGCACTTAGCATCCTCAGATCATAGCGATTTAGTAATAATTAAATTCTATTTTAAATAAATAACAAAAATAATTATGATAATAAGAACGAATGTATAAATGTATAAATATATAAGACAAACGACAAGTTCGTTTCATTCGATTCGTTTATATACCATAGTATCTTGGGTCTATATATATATAAATATAAATATATATAGAGAGAGAGAGTGAAAACAGTCAGAGAATAGATAGAGTTTGAAACATAGGGGAGACAGAGAAAAAGCAGCAAAAGTGTAATATAATAGTGACCGTGGCCATCATAGATCAAAATCAAGGCATCATCATTGTTATTTATGGCCACAATACAAAGATGTTCGAAGTATTCGAAACGCAAAAACTTATAGTAATATATATAGTAAGTAGTATTTCGTGTAGTTGTATCGTCTATACTTCCTATTCTAAGCTACTCACGCTAAAGCTATGACTACGAAGTCGAGCCAGTTCCATGCATCTCTAAGGTAGGTGAATGGTTGAAGAATAAAACCTCTCGCCATCACTTTAACGGCGGACTCGAACGTGTAGATTCCGGTGAAAATCACTCTGGAATTTGATAATGTTTGTGATAATGCGGACCCGGGGCGAGGCTCTGGGGTTAGTGAACAACTCACTCTGTTGATTCTACGGTGGGTGTGGTGGGCATAATCATAAGAATGCAGTTCACAAGGATAGTGGTGATGATGAAGAGAGAAAATAGCGGATGTACTAGAATGTAAATAGCTACCCGGCGTATGGGATTGAAGGGGTCGAGTATCCAAAGAGCATTTGTCGCACTGAATCGGAATATGTCTTTGCCCTTACTGATCACTACGAAAGTCTAGAATTCAGAGAGAAACAGAACAGAAAAAAAAAACAAAAACAAAAAAAATAAATAAAAAACATAGATATTAGAAACAATTAGTACGAATCGTCCCGATCGGGAGGGTTGAGAAATCGATCGATGTCGCTCTCTCTCTCTCTCTGCCCTGAAACGGACTCGAGAAGCCATACCCTTTGGTTACTGTAGAAAGGGTCGATGTCCTCAAGTGGTGTGCTCGCAAGTTCCGGGGGAAAGCTGCCATGAAGCCTAACCGGTAATGGCAGACCCTGCTCCAGGGACTGTTCTGGTTGGGGGCCTTCATCTTCGTCCTCGTCCTCATACCGAATCTATACACATTCAAACGCCAGATTAGAAACACCCCCTACGCGAATCGCCCCTGATTGTTGCAAATGGTTAAACAATCGAAACAATACCAGCACTCGATTTCACCTCATCCACTTTGAAAAAAAATGGTTAAGGATCAGCGCAATTGCTTGCCCTTCAACAACTCACATACTTTGTTATATATTTAACATGCTTCTTCTTCATATTATATTATATATTTTTTGTTCGACTTTTGAAGAGGATGCGAATCCTTGTTCTGGATGTAAACGCGCGCGCTATAGGTGGAATCAAGTGCTTGGCCTAGTTTCTAGACTCTTGATTAAAGTGAACACAAGCTGATTCAGGGGCAACGCGACCCTGATGATGCACTAAATAAAGCCCATCACTTCATTATAAATTTCGTTCCTAATAAATGAATATATTTATACATCAACGTACATACGGAGCCATCTTTAAAAAAAAATTTCATACATCAAAGGTCTTTGGAAAAAGGCAGTTACAAAAAAACCAATAAAATGTACACCCTGGATTACATAAAACCAACAAATAGAGAAAAACAAATCGTTCGCATCTCGGTATGCACCAAATGACAGGATATGTAGGTTGATCAGAGATAATTCATAGAGTTATAAATTAAAACAAAAGAAAAAACATATAGAATGAGCGAGTGTTTCACAGAGAAGAAGAAGTTTTTTGTTTGTACATTGAACTGAGTGTTAAATTAGCGAATACTAAAATACGGTGCATGCGTTTCGTTGACCAACAAATTGTACATGCTTAAGCTGTAGACTAAAATGCATTTTCACCACCGACGCTGACTCCCAAAATCTATAATCGTTGTATTTACTGAGCTCTGCGACTTTCAACCCCCAGGGTGTCTCGACCTACTTTGAAGAAGCTCTCGTACGGAATTGTAAAGTTCGGGAATCAATGTCGACTACTTAACATATCTACTGTAGGTGACTCGCTTTGCGCAAACACTGCGGAAAGCGAAACACCGTTTCACGACATTCTAACGGAATTGAACAAATAATTGAATAAACAAATGAGGACTAGAGTAAACCTATTATACAGAACAGTGTATTGTGCTCGTGTAGTAACTTTGCTAAATGCAGCAACGAATGAAAGTAACTCAAAGGTAGCGGAAACTTTACTGAAATCATACTCGTATCTTTATAACTAATATTCATTATTATCATTACTAATTATGTATTTTTTTTTGTCCAGTGATGTGTATCGTTTGCTTTCTCAACGAAATATTCGTTACTTTTCAAATGTTATTTTAAAGTGTAAGAAATGAGTTGTCAAAAGTAGCGATTATTTAACTTCACCCATCACTAAACTGATGATTCAACTGATCTGGGTTGGTGTATGATATTAAGACATGCGTTAATTCTGTTAATCTTCCATGATTATTAATTAATCATTTATAATAATTATATATTTATTTATTTTTTAATATAAAAATATTTTTTTTTAAATCAATTATATAATTATCAGCTAAGAAGCAGTGTTGTTCTGAATATGTTTATTTAGGGAAAGCTTACTTCTTTTTTCTTTTTCTTCCGTCCAAAACCGGTCTGCAATAAAGGTTTAGAGTTTAACATCGATAAGCACACAAACAGCGTAATGCGCGTTAGGCATCACATGGTTCTCTAAACACTCGAAAAGAGAGTATGTACCTTACGAACATACAAACACTTAGTAGCTGCGACCACTGCACCTCAAATTGTTTCATCAAATCACAACCAAAGAAAACAACAAAAATAAAACAAAAACTATGTATAATAAAGAATTTGGAAAAATTCAAAACAAAAATAAAATCATATAATGTGCTATGTTATTTACAATATCGTTAAAAGAAATGAGCAAAATAATTATATGTATATGTATATTTGCATACATATATATATAATTATGTGTGGGGAGGAATTTTTTTGTAATAGAGAATTTAGAAAAATCTGTATTAAAAATTATTGTAAGTAAAAAAAAAAACAAATAAACATATATATATGTAAGATGTTACACAAGAATCATGCAATATTTTCAAGCACGGCTTTACATACATAAGAGTCCTGTGAAATTAAATTATAGAATAAAATTTATATACATATACGGGAACTTAAAGACGGGTCCTGATTTCGAATGGTTCTTGTTTGGTTGTTCTTTTATTATTATATTTTTGGAGAGGAGACAGTGATGTACCAAAGCTGAAGATGCTGAATACCGCTTCTTCGGCGTTGGCAAATCTTTGATTTTTGTTTTTTTTTTCCTGTACAGTGTGTCGCTTGGGTCTTGAACTTACCTCTCCATCAGCTCTTTTCTTTTCGAGCTCCTTCTGTTTGGCATGTTCGTCGGCGATTCGCGTCTCGATGGTCGCAAGCGACTCGCGCGTAAATGGACGGAATAGACTACGCTCCTCCTCGGACAGTGAATCAGAGGCGTCGGACATGTCTCCTCGCGCCTAGGCCCCCACGATACCCTGGAACAAGAATTGAGATGTTAGGCAAGCACATACCTCCGACAACACCAACCAAAAGAACTTTCTTCTAGTTTTCTATAAATTTTAGGTTTGTCTTTGGAATGGATGCAGAAGGCGTTTCGCATAAACTGTGAGTAGTATTTTGATTGCTCATCAACTGCAATTAACATCTCCAGGTGGTGTTCTCCGCGTGAAGAAGCAGAGAACAGGAACGTGTACGTACGTCCGAACGCGACGACGAATTACTGGTAATTGACGGATTGCACTCAATTGGGTCTGCCGTGTACTAGCGGGGATGCGTAAGGATGGCTGCGCTGCAGCATCGTACCTGAATGGTAGTTTTCCACCGACGTAAAATTCTCGAAGCGAATATCAAAGTACACCCCCGCATTCCGAAGCTGCGCTCGGATATTCCGGGAATTCTTTTGACGCGAAATTAAAATGCAAAAATGGGAGGAAGTGCAAAAAATACAGAAGGAGCGATCGTTTATATGGTAGCCGATGGAATGTAAAATTGCAGTCCAACCTGTTGATGCACGTGTCCAGCTTCCTTTGGAGGACGTTCGAACTTAAACTCATTTGGGTCCGGCTTCGCCGCACCACCTGCTAATTAGCGCGAAGGATCAGGATTATATATATAAGTGGATTCGCGGTGGGCGTGCAGCATTCATAACGGGAAAGAGGAATGTATCCATGGGGACCATTAATTTATTTATATGGTGGGCGGCAATCGATACGATACCGTTCGGCGCATTCGGATACGTACAAACATGTTTGGGCTATAAATAGGCGGAGAGGGCATTATTGATGAATGTCCTGATTGTTCCGTGGCCCCGCGTCGACTGAGTCGAGTCGAGTGGAAAAGTTGTCGGGCAAAAGTGAAGAAGAAGAAGAAAAAAAAATGAGGAAAAGTAGAAGAAGCAAAGGCGACAACGAAGTGGAAGGGAAAAAAAGGAGGAAAACTTTGACCGCGCCGACGACGGAAGACGGGGGCTGCCGCATCGATCCGCCGGAATTCTCCCGCATTAATGTGTTTTGTTGGAAAAACATAATTTTCCGAGCCGAGCGAGATCGATTCGCCGTCGACTATTAACTTGCACCATGTATTATAATACTGTGTGTACATTCATAATGGATTAAAGCAAACGGCTTTACGTCAGAGTTATGATCCTGCGGGTTAGGATCGAATTGCAGGACCATTTTCCGGACCGATTAAAGGATCCCTTCTGCAGGACGGACTTCGTGCTGGTCGGCAATAAGCAATTAAGTTTCGCTCCCACAGTTAATTGTCGGCCGATGCGGAAAATTGCGGCCCGGCCGCGTTTTTCCGTCGCTCGACGCACGCGAACTTCCGCGCTTATTCGAAGGACGACAAAAGGGACAGCAGCAGCAGAAAAAAAAACAACTATATGTACAAGGAATAAGAATAATTATAATAACAATATTTAATGGAATGTGTTGCGCTGCACGACAACAAACCACAAACCAGGACGAGGTCCTTCGGGCAATCGCACGCACACACTCTCACATATACATATATACACGCATACACAGCGATCACGACAAAAGTCTGCAGCGGACTGAGCTCGGAACCTGGTGGTGCTTTCAACTGGTAAAAGCTGACTGACGCGAATTAGAATTAACCCTCAGTCGAGCCACCTAGAATTGCATCTGACAAGGTCCGTAATCCGTAGGAAACCATTAGGGAGTCTGCATTATTTATCGAGAGCTAAAAGGACAACAACAACAAAAAATAATAATGGAAGCACTTGCAAATTGGGTCCATGTCAGGTATTTGCGGTTGTCGCTAATTAATTAATTAGTCGGATGCCGGAGGAGTCGGATTTAAATGCCTGAGCCAAGTCCGAATGACCGGAATTTACGATCAAATAATTACATTTCCTGCGTATTATTGATTCAATACTGAAATATTATTTAGCTGCAAACATTTGCACGCTCCGCGGTTACAATAAATAACAAATTTCGCTGACTTTTAAGCTTTTCATTTATTTTATTTTTTATTTAACACTCTGCGTAAACACTGCGCTAATTGTAATGGAAATCAAAACGATAATAACCGCAGCGAATAGCAAACAACAACGTTTTTGGAATGAAACCGATACACAATTATGAAATAAATAGAAACGAATTAAAAAGTACATTGAAATGTATCGATGCTTTTATCATTGAATCTCTGCAAATAAAACGTTAATTGCAATTGGAATGAAAAAACAGAACGATCAGCGATGATATATTTTTTTTACAACAAAATAAACAATAAATTGAAATATTACAACATTTGAAAATATAAAAATAAAATTTTAAAAAAATATATATTTTATATAAACAAATATTTAAACACTTTTTGTTGACTTTGGAAATGATTATTCATTTAATTGTAATAAAAATAATAACATTTATTATAATTATATATTTATTATACATATATGTGCACAATAAATTCTATTTTTATATACAAAAATATATATAAAGCTATGGTCAATGGCTTTTTGATAATTGCAATTATTTATATGTATTTATTTGTCTGTTACAATAAAGGTTTTATTATTATTAAAATAAATTGAAATTACATAAATGAACGTCGAAATGTAACAATTGAAAGCATTCTATGAATTAATAATGATTTTCGGAACGATGCTTCTCTATACAACGCTAATTGTAATGGAAGTTGAAATACATCAAATTGTAAATTATAAATGGACATGAAAATACTATAAAATTAAACCGACAATTGTAAAACAATAAAAAAGAAAAACTCAAATCCGATGTATTTCACTTTTTACTCTTTCCGCTTTATAAATATTATATAAATTTTAATGGAAATTCATTAATTGGATAGAAATTTGAAACGTTACTAATTGTAATGAAATTTAATAATAATCAAGTTTATTGACCAAAAGAACTGATACAAAGAAAATAAAATAAAACAAATTTACAATGAGTAATTTAAAACAATAATAACCTTATGTCATAAAGTTTTTATTAAAAAAATGAAATAATTTTTTTTATGTAATTTTCTTAATTTTTAGTAAATTATTATTGGAAGAAAACATAATTGTAATTATGGAAACTTAATAGAATTTATTTGAAAATCTAAAAGAAATGAAAAAAGTAATAAAACTTTTAATGAATCAATTGTAATTGAATTGAGAGATATTATGTAAAAATGTTGAAATGAAAGAAATTATGTAGATATTTTGAATTGTTGTAAAAGCAACTGTTTCAGATTTAAAAAAATGTGAAATAAAAGTAATTAAATGAATTGAAATTGCCTTAAAATCTATTTTAAATGCTCGAACCGAAATGGAATAGTAGAAACGTGCATTGGCGTTTATTAATATAATTATTTCCCATTGTATGTCAACGTTGATAAATTTCGCCGCCCCCGGAGCCGGGGCCGACAGGACTGGAAAAACCGATCGATCGGCTTAGGGGAGCATAGGCGAGCTGGTGACGCAAGTACGGCATGTACTTAAGTACGTAGGGGATGAAATGTTCATGTTTCATTCACAATTTCCATTGGATATAAAAACGAAGCCTAATAACTGGTAGTAAAGTTCGGCCCGAATTGCTCAGGACGATCGATCCCCGAAGCACTGTGCATAATTTAATTGATTCCTTCTGGCCAAACAGAAGAAGCCACGTTACTTTCTTCAACTCAAATGATTGATAGATAGATTGATTGATTGATTGATCAATGATATCCATATACATAAATTAGAATATGTGCAAATAAGGGTCGGGCCTAAGCAAACTTCCATCCCATTCACCTTCTACTTCTTCTTCTTCTTCTCCCATCGACTATGGATCGAACAGAGTGTTATGACTGTTTGGGGGGTGGTTTGGCTCGGTTTAATACCGCGTACTGGAAATGATTAGCGGTTTACGGCTTTGCATAAACTGAGACCCCCTTCGAATTGCGCATTAAGCCTAGCAGAAATTGATTTTGTAATAAACCGTATTCCGCGCTCGGGCGTTAAAGCTCGCTCGACCTAACCTTGCCAGCCAGGACCATCGGAACGCCTACTCCTAATCCTGCTTCTATCCCTTCCACTACAGTCCAAGCAGTTCGTCATCCGATGATCCGCGTCGTCGTTTATTGTATTAATCCCATCTCCAATTAATCCCGATTATAAATCTCCGATTACGCGGTTCAAGTTCTTAATGAAATTCGCTCAGTTTACCTGCGCCCAAGGAAGCATAATTATTCCCATCCGCATTGTTAAAACTATTGATTCATCCTCATTACAGTTACACTACAAGACTATAAATAATTCTCTTTACAGGCATCATTGAACTGAAGCGATCAATAATCCTTCGCTTAAGAAGCTCTCTAAAATTATACAAATCCATTTATTGAATTTCATAAGTAATTATACTAAATAGTATAAGTTCAACAACTCTAATTATGTTTTTCGTTCGATTTAAATAGGAATTCCTGTTTACAAACTATATAATTAAGTTAGTAAGATAATTGAAGAAGGTTTTTTTTTAGGGTCTTTAAAGAAAATAGTTAATTGATGATTATTGATGTCAGGGTAATTGTGGATGGATGTTTATTGGTATGGCAGGAATAAGACAGTCGACGTGGAATCTAATTTATTTTAATTGCAGACAAACCGCCGATACGAAGTTCGATCGGACTGAAAGAGCCGCCATCCGATTGGTCGGCCTTGCAGAAGCTTATTTTTGTATCCTCGAAACTGAATAGATTCCAATACATCTATGTGGGAGTTTTGGGTGGAGGCGCCAGGACGAAGGCAGGATTCAAATTTTTCAGGAGTATTTTTCTCGGATCGATCGATGCACTCAGAAATCACCCACTAGATTATTAATCCCACGGATTGGAAAACTTTTCAGAAACGTTGTTGCATTATTGATTCGCTCCGCAGCATTCCACAAACATATCTCTGCCATCCCTGATTAAATCCATTCAATAATAACGAATTTAATCAAACTTGATGACTTCTCCAATTATCCTTAATCCATCGTAAATTATATCTAATTTAATGAAATTTCAATTCTATAATTACATTGGAAATAATTTGTGAGTTGTTACCGCAATGCCAATTGTTAGACTTCAGTCCGCAATGTATTTTATTCATCCCCGAGCTCGACCCTCGCCCCACTGCAGATACCCGGTCATCGATCCAGGCCTTTGCTGCAGGAGCCAACGTTTAATATTTGATAGGAGAAAAATTCTGCTAATGCATTTCGTTTTTAACGACTTATGGAAATCTTCGTGCTTCATTAAAATTGCACGCTCCATCGCCGTAATGCGGTTTCCTACAGTTTCCACCTAAACAAAAACCATCCTATATATGTAGTGCACAAGTCTCCTCAACTCATTGGCAACAATTACAGTCAACTTATCGTCGAGGCGACATGAAAGGCTCTTTGTGCTTCCACAGCTCTGATATCTGCCGAATTGAAAATAGCATTTTCCGAGTGATTTCACAAAGCATAGCGCAACTTGCTCGCATGTTTTTAATGAGTTACTTCACATGAAAGGAATCCTATCTTCTGTCACCCGTTTATTGGAAGTCACAAAATTCAATACATATTTTTTCCATTCAACATTATTATTTATAAACAATTATTGTCTGTGCAATTACGATATGGATTGCAAAGCTTAGTTCAGAGGAGGCCACGAATCAATATGATGCGAGAGCTACATGCATGCTCTAGATAATACCGGAAATGTGTCAACCCCTAAAACGTACTCTGCAATTATGAATGAATAAATGATCGTCATATTGATTGAACTTTGTTGAAACACAGTTTTCCAGCAGATTTCGAATTTAATTTTTTATATATTCTGATTCTAAATATGATTCGTGTGCCCCAGATACATCTGGAAATGTGTCAACTCTAAAATGCAATCCCCGTAATTGTAAATTAACATTCAACATTGATTGACGTTGTCGAAAACCACTTTAAAATCTATTTCAAATTAGATTCATTATTTTTTAAATCTAATTTTATTGCCTTAAATGCATTATCTTACATTTCCACAATGATATAAATAAATAAAATACTTATTTTTTACTATTGTTGTTGTGAATTGATTTAAATAATACCAAAAATATACTCTGTAATTACAATAAATAAGTAATTAATCAATACATAGAATTATTGGAAAGTTTTAAATAAAAGTATTTTAGAACAATTATCATTGAACAACGTAAAACTACTATAAACAACAATAAATATCTTACCTTACAATTGGTATAAACTGTTAAGAATACATATAAAGGGTTACGTTTAAAAGCTTTGTAATTAATCACAATATTAAAATGAAAAAATTTATTTTATAAATTAAAATGTCCAAATTTGTAAAAATTATGATTAAAAAATTCATTGAATGAAATACAATAGTATTAATAAAGTTTAGGGTAAGTTGTAGAAGTTTTCTATAATTAGCAAAAGAGGGTGAAAAAAGTAATAATTGATGAGAATGTCCTGCAGTGACATTAAATTCTTAACGGCGGAGCCGCATTTACAAGTCATTGCTGTTTGTTTCTTTTCGAACATAAAAGAAAAAATGAAATTTATGTACGGGCGGTGCCCTCGCCACAACCCCTAACTTCTTTTAGCCCTATTTGCTTTGGCTCCTTATATTTGTGTCTCTGTTTGTTTCTTGTATTCTGGCAACATTTCATTTGCTAGAGCCACCTCCTTAAACATAACGGATTGTAATGGAAAACCGATACTGCAGCAGAACGCAAGGGCCGTCTTCCGCCAAAAGTGGGAAACAAACAAAAAAAAATCGAAACGAATTCGTTTCCTACATTCAGTATCGACCCGGCTTGTAATTAGTAAAACGAAATCACGAAGTTCCTTTGTCGCTTTTCCGAAAGGCATGCAAACACACACGTAGTATTTTTCACCCCTAAAATGAACCTTATGTACATTTTTATTGATTGCTATGCGTGTTGTAGTAAAATAGGGTAACGGTTGTTTTGGAATCCGCAACCGAGTTTTGCATTTGAATTTTCTAACATGATATATATATGTAAAACACAACAAAAAAAAAAGAAAAACGTACAGAAGGAAGTATTGAATAAGTTAGGTTACGCCCCTAATTAAATTAGGCATACGCATGGTAGTACTACGTGTGTGCGTGTGCGTATATAAACCTGTCCTCAGAAATCGTATCAGGTTCTACACGAGAAGGAAAATATTTATCAATTATGAAGAGGAGGAAGTTGTGGAGATGGAGCGGTGACCTACATACGGCTGAATGAAGGGCTGCTAGGGATGAATGGGGATGCGTAACAAAGGATTACCGATTTATATATATGTAACGTCTAAATATAGCTAATTATCAATGCTGCTGTCGCAGTTAATTGTGATTGGTAATTGTCAGAGTAAATGGGTCAGTTTGTTGTTTTTTTTTTGATTCTGATATGTATACACATATATTGTGTAGGTGAATCCACTTTTACTTTTAATTTGGGTCGGGATTTATGAATGAAATGCCCCTCCAGATGGGCGATTGATTTTTCTAGCGCTGCTGCAGATGCCAAGCTCTGAACGCGATGTGGAGGAGGAGGAAGATACAGGGCCGGAGCAAAATGCTGGGTTCTTGAGGGGTTGTATAATATTTGTTGTTTACTTGGGATTATACTTGGAACAAACCTGCATCGAGGGGACAATCACATGGCTCCGGTTTTCGCATTGGAGTGGTTCCTTGGGCGCTTCATGTACGAGGCACAAGGTTTAAAGAGCACTGGAAGAGGCCGCGGTTCGCGCGGTTTGAACGGTTTTCGGCCGATGCGGCCTTAGAATAGTAAAAGTAAATATAATGTAAGCTATGAAAGGGTAGGCGGATTGTGAACGGGCCTTACGAAGTCACCCCTATGCGACAGAGCGAATCGATACTAAGGAATGACCCACAAACCGGAGCGGCACACTGCGGAGTGGTTCGCGCTCGAGGAGGTTGGGTCGGATGGTTGGCAGGCAGGCAGGATCCTTCTTTGCTTCGGGAACGGGTGGGGGGTTGTTCGTTGCTTGGTGGTGGGTCTCCGCTCGGGTTTTTATAAAAAAAAAATATACTGAAGCCACTCTACTTACTACTTACATCAACTTTCTTTGTTATGAGTATATGTCCTTGAAAAATCATATGGAATATTAGTCTTCATTTATTGCTGGTTGTCAGGCACAACGTTTTTGCAGATAGTTGGGCAGCTTCCGGTAAGAACGAAGAGAGAAGAGCACATGTCGGGTCACACTCGCGTCACGATCGCGCTCTGGGGGCATGTCTTGGATCATACGTGGGCCCGCGCCCCCAGCTGAACACCGACCTCCTGTGCCATCGCCATTTTCTCCTTAGACTGCAACGTCCATCTTGTCGCAGAGAGCGCCGGTACGCCTAGGTGGGGGAGGCGTCGCGCCGTCGCCACTCAACCGCAGGATCTATCAATTATGCAGGCACATGCCACGGTCGCTCGCGGTACCACGGTACTACTACTACTACTTCTACCACGGAGCCTCAGAGCAAACGGAACGAAACTAAGGCTACCAGCGATTTACTCGAAGATCATCACAGAAAATGCCCACGGAATCGCGATCCGGATCCAATACGCGCACCCCGACGACCCACCGTCGGCCCGTGCACCCGCGACTTCCTCGCAATCTCCCGGAAACGACTCTTTTTCCGCGCTACAAACAATTCGCATTCAAAGTGCGCCACGTCGCGCGCAATCGACTTCATATGCTGCAGCGCTTGCGTACTCCCCCGCAAACCCCGCGCCCTTAATACCCTAACCCTTTCTTACAAGACGCGGTGGCGTCGTGACGTCACGCCGTCCGTAATGTTGCGGAAACCGTCTCCATAGCGACGATGTCGCTTATTGCCACTGCAAACCGCCTGTCACTTTTTCGAATCAATAAAAGTCCTTGAACCCGCACGCCTACCAACCGTCGCGACTACCCAATACCATTCCTATTCCAATTCCCGACGATCGCTTATAACAAGCACATTTTTGAATAACGACGGCAGTTTTCATTCACTTCGCACAGCAAACTTTACCCCTAAACATTCCTTCATGGGGATGATTCAATTTTAGCACACTCTCAGGGATACATATAAAAGGAACACTTAAATTAGTCCTTGCAAAACAAACAGGGAATTCCTGTTCCTTATCCTATTCTAAAACACCATACAATCAGAATATATTACATTTTCTAACCAAGAAGAAAATAAAAACTTTTATTAAACAAATACAATTATAACTTTTCATATATAGTTTAATCAAAATTCAAAATAATAAATACTCATCCAATATTATTAAAATCTTAATTGAATCGTTTTCCAATTGAGATATACAAAAAATGTGAAGTTTCCAGTAATATACATAAATATTAAGTTTCCTATTCTAAAAACCGTACAATTAGAGTATATTACATTTTCTAACCAAGAAGAAAATAAAAACTTTCATTAAACATATTCAATTATCACTTTTCATATAAAGTTTAATAAAAATTAAATTATTTAAATCTTAATTTAATTGTAGTCTAATAGATATATCAATAATAATAATATACAAAAATATTAATTACTTTAGTGAAATTAGCATGATTACAATAAATTATGTTTATTATTATTTAAGCAAAAATCGAATATTTAAATTGTGAATTATTTTGTGTCTAACAATATTAAATACAAAATTGCAAAATTCTAAAAAAACATATTTTTTTTTATAATTTTATTGTAATTGTAGTCTACACAGACACTTATTTAATTTAATAGAAATTAAAAATGTAAATGAAATGTAAACAACAAAAAAATAAATTTGTTCAAATTTACTTATACATATATATGTAATTAATGTAAACTAATTGAATTCTATTAAATTTGAAAATAAATACAGTTTTCTTCATTCGAGATCAATTTTTCATCCCTTAAGTAAAACAAGCAATTTTATAAAGACATAATAATATGAGTTGAATAAAATTATCAATTTTATTTACAAAAGAACAACAAACAAACAAAAAACAACCCTCTAAAATAAGGCTATCACCGTTCCACCCCCGCTTAGCAGATGTCGCTACTAAACCAACATAACGAAACCTTCCAAAAAGATATTCAAACACACACAATACACGAAGACCTATAGATCAAACAGTTTCCGATATAAATTAACGCAATACAGCAGATTTCCCAAGAGTCGTACGGCCCTTCGCATGTCCATGCCCCGTAACTTATCTATTTTTTTTTCATAATTATACACATCGCAAAGGAAACGAAAAGGGGAAAACAAAACAAAAATTCGTTGAACGCTAATGAACATCGTAGATCCGAACGAAATGCGACAAATAGAGTGGTAATTATACAAACACGTGCGGCATTTAAAAAAAATTGTTTTTAAATACTTAATATCGATCATTATCGCAATTAGCTAGGGAAATGCTCAATTGTACAACGAGCCGAACAAACGATAATAAAAATGAAAAGAGTAGAAGAAATAAATAAATAAATAAAAAGAAAGAAAGAAACAGAAAAGGAGGAATGGAAAAAACAAACAATAAATAGTTTTGCTACACGTCACATTGATTGGACCCAAATCGATCGTCCTTGTCCCATATTATAAATAAATTAATTAGTTAAAAATTTTGTTTTTCAAATTACACTCAAAACTCTGCGATAACATCAAATGTCATAGCGTCGAAGATAATGATATTATTTGTCGGGTATTTTTAGAAAGCTTAAACAATAGGTATAGATTGATCGACAGTCGAGAAGTCAATTTGTTAAGATTATGTAACAATAATGAAAAAATATAATATAGAAGAAGCGTACGCACGTACATACAAGGATAGAGTAAATTACGTTCATTTTATTATGTGAAAGCATTAAATTAGCGATAGCATCGGGTAAATACCGCGTGCATTTGTCCGAAGTCCGAAGTTCGTGCACCATTTATAATGGAAAAAGGGGGAAAAATAGATGAATAAATAAAAAAAATAATAAAAAGAACTACAATTCAGTGGGGGACTTTCAACGGTGTTCAATAATGGAATGGTCAATTAGTTAATTCACATCTTAATTGATTCAACGCAATCTATTTGGTCTCACGGAATGTTTCAATATGAGACCGGAAATATTCATTCCGATGATTGCACACGTGGCGGATGTGAAAATAAGTTTGGTGGAGGCACCGGGTATATGAAGCTACCCGTGTTAATCAAGTTTTATAAACACTTGGGTGAATTGGATTAATACATTTCCGAAGTTGTCGTTACGTAATTTATTGGAAAGTTACTAATTGTAAGTGATTAAGACATTCATTGTTTCGCAATTCGATTTCGTTTGATAAAAAAAAATAAATAAAAATGGTGCAGTTCAACGCAGAATTGGTCACAAAGATTTAGAATTCTCGTCGTAAAATTGCGAATTAGTTTATAGCATCAGTGAGGTAAATAACTATAATCTACAAAGAAACATAAAATTAAATTAAGTAATCAATTTTTTTTCTAAAAAAATTATGACTATTAAATTATTGAAATTTTAATTAAACAATGTTTTTGTTGAAAAAATTAATTAGAAAGAAAAAAATAAAACGAATTATGTAAAGCAGTTTTAATATAAGATGACAAAGTATAATCTAGATGCGAGAAAGTTCGCCTGACGAGGTATACTTGTATTCGGTAATTGTGGCTGCGCCGGGTACATCCGAGCGGAAAACACGAAAGTTAAGTGAACATGCTTTTATGGGCCAACATTAAGATGTGTATCTTAAACCCATCAATTTTTCTCTTGCTTTTGTTTTCTTTAAGTGCGCATAGTTTGTTCATATTCTTTTAAATTAATATATTTCTAAATATTTATATTAATATTTTTGTTTTAAGTAAAATAAAGTTATAATGATGGTAGAACAACGACAATTAAGATGTTTGCTTGTTGAGGTATAATTTTATACTGTAATTGTGGCTGCGCCGAGCGAAAAACGTGAAAGTCAAGTAAACATGCTTTTATGGCTCACATTAAAATGTGTATCTTAATCTCATCATTTTTCTTTTGTTTTTATTTTCTAACTATTTAGATAATCTTTATTCTTCGTTTTATAGAATACATAAGTAGAATCTTATAGGTTACAAGTATTTTCCTATACAGTGGAAATCCAAGCAATGCCTTCATGTTTTGGTGTATTTGTAAGCTTGAATAATTAAAGTAAAATGTTTAGAAATATTGAAATCTGTGTATTCTCATCCAGTAAAATAAGTATTTTATATAATACATTAACAATTGTGTAATCATATGGGATAGAATCATTCTTAACATTTCTTAGAAAAACTTCTTGAAGAGTTTCTGTACTTTATAGTTTCTGTAAAATAGTATAATGCACCTGCAACCTTTCCCAGGCGTTGAAATGTTTCAATGTTTATTTGATGCGCTTGCTGTTTCCTACAGGTCAATTCCTATCTGTACATATAACTTCTAATAAAACTTTTTGATACTTTGTCTCTCGACAATTGGAAAAATTCTCACATTTCTATTATTTCAGTTTATCTACCTATATTTAAGACACATTTTGTTTGTTAAGCTTAAGTTAATGTATTGTTTAATGAATCGAATTGGTTTGGATAAGTTGAGCCTTCCATTAATTGTATGTAATTTAATAATAAAATGGAAAGTATATGACTTCAGTTTATAACGTAATCCTTAAATATTCATAACTTTTCGTTAAATCTCGAAAGTTTTCTAAAGCCTTCTTAATCCAGAATATATGTAAGAATTAAAAATGGAATTATGGTATTAACAAAATTTTCAAATAAAAACGCAAACTACGTGCGTTTCGAACAAAAAAAACAATGTAAAAACGTAATGAAAACTATTTACTACGTAATTAAATATTATTATTATTGCATAATTTAAGCTGTAGTTGTAACAGAAAGCGTTGACGGGGTAGTAAATTCCATTAACAGTCAACCTCGAAGTAATTTACCCAGCGCTCAAATAAAGCCGACCATAAAAAAAAATAACCATACTTGTATGAAGTATGGAGACAAAGTATATTGTGTTTACTCATTGGCTTTATTACAACATTGTTCTACATTTTAGCTTACTAATGTAATATATAAACAAGTAACAAACAAAAAATAATAGAATGAACTCAATTTTGTATATTTGCTTCACCTATGTGATATTTACATGATTTTATGTTAGGAAACGTATATTACAGAGACTAAACTGATAGGAATGTTTGCTTGGATTAAACTATCTATCTGAAATCGCTCGGGGCTCAGAGTCTGGTTCAAAAAGGGAAACATCGTCGCTGTTGATATTATCCTCTGAGGCAACAAAATTAGCCAAGCGTTAGTAAACCTTATTGGTATGCGATTAAATGCATAATCCTCGTTTGAGGTACGAGCGAGTGGATTTCCTCGTGCATTTTAGAGCAAGTTTTCCACGCGAAAAACAGGAACAATCGAAGGGAACGCTGATCGACGAACTCTGTTATTAAGCTCGATTAAACAAATCCGATCTCGTGTGATATATAAGATTTGCAAGGAATACATTATGATCAAACTAATCTTACATATTTAAATTATTTGAGAATACTTGAGAAAATATCAATCTTAAATCGGTAGAACATCTGCTTCATTCTAAGTTCTGACTGCTGATACGTAAGTAGGATTAAGAAAGCTATAGCTCAGAAGTGG